TGGGCTATGAGAGGCGAGAGGTCTGGTCTGGTAGTGGGAAACCGGTGGGATGGGCTAATGGAACGCTCAGCCTCCTTCTTTTTGTCCCCTAAAGCTTTAACAACCTTCGAGCCTATCACCATGCTCTCTCATATACCCACCACTGTATACAGTCAGCCATGGGCCAAAGGCGGGTTCCATTCGATAGTTCACGTAGCGTGTTATTCGAAGAAATCCCTCGGCTGTTCCCCCTCGCAGATTGGTTTGATTTATCGGAAAATAGAAAACCACTTCTACCTACAAGAGCGATAAGCTATTCACGCTGAAGACTTGGCTCCCAAGACGACTATGTTATGGCGGTACAATACCCGCCAATGCCATGTCAAGAAGTTGAACACGTCTGTGTGAAAATAGCGTATCCACAGTAGGCCCACCGAGTTTTCACCTCACGTACTCCGGAGTACGAGTAGCTGTATCTCTAGGATACCCACCAGGTGATGATTCTTCCCGAGTAGATAAGGTTCTTCAGCATAAAATTGAGACCATGAAGTCTCGGGATATCATATATAACAATAGCATGAATATTTCTCAAGTTCAACGATTATAAAAACGCTCTCGCCCCGAGATTGTACTCTGTCCTCCACAAACACCGGAATAATAACGCTATAAAATCCCTTCCAGCAAGCAAGACACTACGGCGGATGTCCTATACACAGTATCGAGCTTGTAGGTGATCTGGAGAGTATACAACCTGTCAATATACCCCCACAAAACATGCAATAGGTAAATCCACAAAAAAAAAAAAAAAACACAAGTACTTACCACCCTACATTCGACCGAGGACCCCCGAGAAATGACCCCTCAACTGGTTCTATGCAATTGCCCCATCGTTCGACTATTCCAAATACCCGCCTCAGTAGCTACCTCGTCTACCACCCTATCTCCGTCTACCTCTAATGCATCAACTGACGACCTTAATGAGCAACTGTATGCTTAGAAGGTTTCTTATCTACCGTCCTGATATCCGGAATAGGTATCAAATGCCGGGTGCCGAGTCTTTAGTCTATAGCTAGTCTGCCCATCATTACGTACTAGCTGCAGGAAATTCCTGTAGAGCCGTAGAGACATTGCTTGGGTCTACATATGGCGGTTGCTCGATCTTACGATGATATACACTGGATATAGCCATGGGTTCTAGGCCTTGAATTATCCGACCTGATAGATCTTTATAACACCCATCCCGATTCTTGGGACAGTCTCGCTTTTATTTGTCATTTCCCCCGCGCGGAAGAGATATATGGATACCTAACATACTCGAATTGCAGAATGCAGGATTGGGTCCCGAGATCGACAGTTTTCTGGCCATTCAGTCTCTGGGATCAATCAAGCCATTGCTTGCTTGTGTCGATCGAGGGCTTGGGAGCGATCAGTCACTGGTCTCTTCTCCTACTTAGTAGCTCCTCTCCCTTCCTATCCCCTTCCCTTTCTAGCTCATTTAACACCGTGGGCCCCCCTCAACGACAGCTTCAAACAGAACGAAATTGCAGAAAATCAAAGGAACACTCTAATATACATCTACTAACATATATCCCAAACCCAGAAAGCAATACTCTGACATTGGTCCCAAGTAAATCAGCCACCAAAAGATTATTTCTCTATCAATCTCATGGAGAAAGAAAGGACTATCATCTAGACATTAGCAGGGCCAGAGGTTCTTGGTTTAGCTAACCTCGGTGGTACTTTCCACTATCGTTTTACGAGTCTCTGTGCCGGGATGCATGAGAGTGTATCTTTGTTATATGGGCAATCGGGATATTATATTTCATTCCCTCTGGTAAGGAACAGGAGAGCGATGGATGAATGATTTCTGAGTTATACGAGGTATCTTGCTGAGTAGCGAGCGCTATTGATGTCTTGTGGGACATTCAGGAGCGATATGGAATCAGGGAGATGAGAGAGGTTGGCATCAATGGTTTGTCCAGTGGGTGGTGTATCTTTGAGCTGTTGCTATAATATATAAAGGGGCCGGGGGTAGATACAGTGTTGGCGTGGTATCTACCTGGTACTTGACTGGAGGCACTGGTTCAGGGTTGGTCAAGCATTGGGTATAAGATATTCAACAGGATAATTGTTGAAGTATGATGTGGATTGTAGGATATGTGTGGTGAGGTGCATGATGAGTGTTTGCTCTTCGTGGGTCATGCTGACTGACAGAGATGGTAAAGTATCATGATTCATCTCATGCAGTCGCTCGAGGTGTCGCATGCTAGCGTGCGTCGTGGATTTACAAAGGAAAGCAAGTCTACTTCAGTCAAAGAGCACTACATTGGCACAGTGTATTCATACATTATCGTAAAAAGTATTCATGGGTATTGCAAATCCATATTCATTTGCTGTGCTACCTTTTAACCGAAGTAAATCATATCAAACACAAAACCGAATCACCCTTTTAGTTCTCGTGAAGAGTAGTGAGGAACTCCTTGGAAGGACCAGCAGGCTTCTCACCCTCAACAGCCTTCTGGCCGAGCTTCTCCTTAGAGAAAGCAGCAGCGTAGGGGTTAAGACGGAGCATAACCTGCTTGTTGCGGAGAGGGTTCTTCTTCTGAACGTTGGCGCGCTTGGTGCGAGCCTCACCCTTGGGAGCACGGAGGACGGACTGGATTTCAGAAGAGTTGATGAGACGGGCCAGGTCAGCGTTGGCGACAACGTTCTGGGGGAGGACGTAGTCCTTCTTGAGGGTGGCAGGGGCGGAGCCAGAGCCGAAGACCTGGTCGAGGGCCTCGAAAGCGGAGGAGGTCCAGACAACGAAGCGACCGAGGTGACCACCAGGGGCGAGCTGGAGGAGGTTGAGGGCGAAGACGGGGGAGGTCTCAACACCGGGGATGTTGCGGAAAGCACGGACGAGCTCCTTGCCATCAACCTCGGGGTTGTAGACAACGAGAGGACCGCGGCGCTGGCGGAAGCGACGGTTCCTGAGCTTACCCTTACCGGCACGCATCTTACGGGACTTGGAGACCTTGACGAGCTCGTCACCGGCACCGAGAGCCTTCAGAAGGGTGACAGCAGCCTTGGTCTTAGTGAGAGCAGCGTTCTCGAAGGTCTTGGACTCAACGACGAGGGGAACCTCGGCAACGTTGGCAACACGGTGACCGCGGGCGAAGAGGAGGGCAGGGACGGAAGAAGCAGCAAGAGCAGAAGCAGTAGCGAAACGCCTATCATCATGTTAATATCATGTACAATCCCAATGCCAAAATTTCAACGTTGAATGCCATACTTCTGGTTCTGGTTGAGCTTCTGGTGCCACTTGCGCCAGACCTTGGTAGGAGCGAACATACGACCAGAGCGACACTGGTTACCGAAGGCAGCCTGACCAGCACGGTGGGTACCACCACCAGAGACACGAGGGATACGAGCGACAGCACGACCTGATCGAAAAATTCTGTTCAGCGGCCCAATTCCCTGACTTTGCAATTCTGCCTCCAGATTCGCAATCCAATTTCACATACCGGTACCCCAGGACTCAGCAGAAGTCTGTTCACCAGCCTTCTCGCTCACGGCATAAGGCTGTCTCTTGTTCTTGGCCATGCCGGTGTGAACCTGCCTATAATGAAGTCGTCAGCCATCCTCCGGTCCCCCTCGAAATCGCGCCGCAAATTCATCGAACATACTGGACAACATCAAGACGGATGGGCGCGTTGAAAACGGCGGGCAGGGGGGCAGTGGCCCCGCTGGGCTTGCCTTCAGCCGTGGCGATAGTGACGGTAGGACGAGACGCCATTGTTGTCGACGGTGAGGTGGTCGTTGTCGTCGTTCGAGGTTGAAGATCGAGTATCCTCCCAATGGGCTGAGGAAATTTTCGCTTAGTCCCCCGGCACGGGTGGTGGGCTCCAGAGAAACCCTAAACCCTGGTTACCGCTTTTGGGCAGGTCGCTTCTTGACTTGGCCGACACCTCAGGTTGACTGCCACGTTGAACCTCCTACACCGCATGATGAGTGCTGTACATAGCGTACCTGGCTATGTTGGCAGTACTGAATGATTTCAGGCTAGTTTGTTTCGTTTCTACCCCAAACAAAATTGTATTATTGGAACATTTTCTGGAATTATCGCACTGTCATGTTCGCTGCCATATCAAGTTGAACATGGATGTTGTTGTTTACCGCCAAGACTGACTAATCACTTATGCTAAGTTATACATCAGACAACTCTGGTAATAGTAGTAGTGTACAAGAGTACAGTACATCAACCTTCAAGTGAAGTAACACGCTATCTGAACACAAGAGTCCTCAGCAAGATGATACATCCATGAGATCCCGTTGAGGATGCTTGATGTGTGCTACTAAAGCAAGTCCAACAATTCTATTTCTAACAGCCCATCACATATTCAGGTACTGTTGGAATATATTTGAGATACTCTGGTGTATCCACGGGGGATATGAGCTCATTCAGTTATGGCCAAGGTTGCCTTCAACTCAAGCGTGATGCGTACATACCATTGCATTTTCTTTAAAATAGATACTATATGGACAATGCCATGCAATACCTAAGATCGTTGGACTACTCAATCTGAGAGTGTCTTGCTATACACTAGCTTCTAAGGTAAATGCTTACGTCTGGAAAAGCTCCATGATCGGAACATCCAAAACACCATGCGATACCAGTTGCATCGCTCTCGTTAGGATACATGAAATAGCTAAGGTGGCATTCTACGAACTGATAGTAGTTCAAGTTCATGGATACTACAGACATCGGTGTTACAAAGGCGCAAAGGCACTAGGTCTCGGGTTCAAATTACCAGTACGTCAAACTAATCTTGTGCAGAGTGAATATGATGTTCAAAGCTTTCTATTCAATGAAGGTCTTGAGTTCTAACCTTCCTTTCATTTACCCTGAAAGTAAATACAATCGAAGAAGAAAATCCATCCTAGAAAGGATCCCCACTAGCGTCCACGCCGCTGCAAGGAAAACGAAGAGAATTCAAAAAGGAATCCCGATAACCGGACCGGCGGATATCAGACTTTCTTTATGCGTGGTTGTGGTAGTTGCGCTTCCTGTGACGCATCTCGTGGAGCATGCGGGGCTTGAGGTTGGTAGCCTTAATCTTGAGGTTCATGCCCTGGCCAGCGGTACATTCAGTACCAGCAGCCATCTGCTGTGTCAGGGTCCACTGTCCGTTGGCACAGCGCTGGAAGGAAGAGCCACCAATGCAGTTCCAGGCACCCTCCGAGCTGCAAGATCCGGTCAGAGCACCAGAGCTAGAGGAAGAGCTGGAATCAGAGCCGGAGCTGGAATCAGAGCCGGAGCTGGAGCCACCCGACGGGGCGCTAGTCTGGGTTGGCTGGGCGGGCGCGTCAGTAGGGACAAAGACACCAGGAGCAGAGGACTGGGATGGCTTGGGGACCAAAGTCGAGGAAGCCACTGGCGCAGGAGGCGCAGGGGCAGAGGTAGCACCGGAGGAGCTGCCGGCCGAAGAGGAGGAGCTGCCAGAGGAGCTTCCAGAAGAGCTGCCAGAGGAGTCACTAGAACCGGCGGTGTTACCATCTGCACCGAAGGTAGGGGTGCCAGTGCAGGCTTGGCTGCCCTCAGCGGCAAGGTTGTTCTTATTACCAGCGTACTCAACAGTGGCACCAGGATTGGGGAAACGAATATCGACGCCCTCCTTGGTGATACAGCCGTTGACATTGGCGACGAACATGGGGGGGAAGTTAGCAGAGCGCTTCTCAACGGTCTTCTCCTTGGGAACTTCGTCACGCTTGGAAGAACCACCGGTGACGGTAAGAGGGGCACAGTTCATGTACATCTCACGGTTTCCGACACGGTTGAACCAAGTCCAGGCGAGGGTGTATTTGCCAGGCTCAATACCTTCAGGGATGCTGTAGGTGAACTTGGAAGCTCCGGTAGAATCGGGGCCACCAGAAAGGTTACCATCGACGTTGGCGGGACATCCACCTTCGATCGACTTGATGACAATCCACTTGGAGTCCTTTGTGGGCTCACGGTCGGTGGTCAGACTGACCTGGCAAGATCCGCCGCCGTGCACAGCGCTACCCATGAAAGTCAGAGGCATCGATTGGCCGATGGCGGCAGTGTTCTCCTCGGTGACCTGGTAAGTGTTGGACCTCAGCTTGCAAGGGAAATCACTGCCGTCCGCCGCGAGTGGAGAGTTGTTGAGAGTGTCCTTGCCGTAAGGAATGGGACTCGACATCACCATGTGGGCGTCAACGGCGGCGGCGCCGAGTAGAGCGGCGGTAACGAAAGCCTTGCTGAACATTTTGATGGTTTGAAGGAACGTCGGTGCTATTGATCTGACTGTTCGACAGCTGAAAGAATGGCTGGAGATTCTGATCGTACCGGACGAATCAGAACCGCGGGACAAGACCTTGAATGTGGTCGTGCGAAAAGAGTCTAGAAGGTGATCAAGTTAGCTGATACTATCGCTAAGCACGGAGGTGACGAGCCGTTATATAGAGCTGATCCTTCACGAGTTGACCAACACAAGATAGAGCAACACGGTGAAGTTCCACAAATCCACAACGGTCTCGAATAACGCACGTAGGAAATGCTTTAGTGCAAATAGGTCATACCTTTGGGGAGCAGGACTGGGTAACAATGCCTGCTTTGTTCAAGACTGGGGAGAACAATGACTTTCTTATCGAGAGACGATTGTCCGTATAATGAAGACGAGCGAGGGCGCTACTTTTGTCACACGTAGTACAATGGCGTTTTGTCCAAAAAAGGAATGTCTGGTAACTGCCACAGGCAAGAGACCAAGAATCAAAAAAAGGAATGAAGAAAGTGAACAGGAACTAGCCCGTAGAACCGTCGAACAGATGAACTGTAAAAGGATTGAATCGCACCAGCGTGGTAGGAGAAAGAAGAAGACGAGGCACGGTGGTGTAGGGAGGGGGGAATATATAGTTTTTAGACGCTTCGACCAGGCATCGTCACCGGTGGTCGTGCGAATTGCCGTGGAGGGTTTAGGAGAGGTGGGGTGACAAGCGTTGGATCACAAACTTTGAACATGCCAAACGCGAGCTTCTGTCGAAGGGTTCTGAACAAATGTGAAACATTGAGTGAGTGGGACCTTCATTGATCCATCGCTGCGGAAAGATGCAACAGAGTTCACCAGAGAGAGAAAAAAAAAGGTTGAGCATCCATGCGCGCTTGAGTGGCTTGCTGGGGCTGCAACGCCCTGCAGCCACTGAGGGTCCGTGGATGCAGCCCTTTCGGGATACTCACTAGGTCCGTCCTAGTCGTAGGGGGAGGACTGGAGACAGAGTATCTGTATTGTATGTAACTATGGAGAAAATGTAATAAATGTAACCCATATATTGTTGATGAGATTGACCATACAGATGCTACCGTGAGCTACGACATCCAATGCAGCGTCGTGGACTGCCAGTCATGAGGGATCAAGCAAGGCGCCCAGCCATGAAATTCCTTTTAGTCCTGCATTAGTGTTGACGGCCGCACCCAACAGGAAAGTCGCCCCTGGAGGCGGGGAGGGGCTTTGGTGTCACACCATCCGCCCGAGTGCTCGGTTCCTGGCCAGCTACCGCCTAAGATTGGTCGCGGCATGGAGACTCGGTTGGCGCCTTGGATGGCAATACTAGTAGTACTACTTGAGTATGGGGCCGCCCTCAGCGGATCTACCGCCAATCAATAGGCATTGCCATAATCATGGGGAGGCTTAACAAACCCATCCAAATTTCATGGCGTGGAAATCACAGCCGCTGCGTTATCCTCTTCTCTCGGAATAAAATTGCTGAGTTACATCGCCGCTGAACAACCTCATCTCATTCCCTAATAATATTACTAAGAGTGCCCCCAGAACAATCTACTTCGACATACTATCAGATAGTGGAATAAGATTAGATCCCCATTCAACCTTCGTGTTGAAATGAACTCATTACTGAACCCAGACCCTAGTGGCGTGGCAGTGGGAACAATAGTACAGCACACATACGTGGATGCCCTTATTGTCCACCACGCCACATTACGTCGAAGTACAGAGCGCGCGGGATCCCACACTGTAATCCGACTCCGTTGATCATCGAGCCGACCGACGGGGAGAAAAAAAAATAAAACTTTCTTAGACAAAGACTGAAAGACACGGAGTTGACCGCCAAACGTGGGGCAAACGGAATAAGACCTGATGTCTGATAGACGCCGAACAGTGACCAGTCAGGGAAGCTGAACGGTTCTGACTCGTAGACTACGATACGAGAATGTCTCCATTTCCACACCTCAAGTAGGTCGGCGGTATGTATAAAATCTGGTTGTTAATGGTGACTAGGAAATGGGGACCCCCGTCGGACTCCATCCATACTGCAGGCTACGCCGTTCAACCAAGAAACAGGCTGCAAGTCAAAATTCTCCGCTGCTATTTTTCGTTTCCCTTTTGTCTTCTGTGTGCTTATTGCGCTGCTTAGCGCTCTACGCACATGCATGTGGCAAAAAAAAAGTTGTGTTATACTTAGGAACCAGGCAAGGACTTGCTGAGGCAACAGAGACATGAGCTGCGTGTACAAACATAGTACCTTTGTCTTAAATAGGCAGAATCTCCGCCTTACTAAGTCACCTTCGAAATAGGAATTCAATCGGTGCGGTTGGGACTCAAGGAGCTTCGAAGTTTAAACCAACACTATTGTTCTTAGCAGCTTGAGACGAAATATCCAGCCTCCTCCTCTCTCCTAAGGTTGGGTTCTCGTCAATCCATGGTTCAGGGTCCAGATCTCCAGTTCCGTACCATTACGATGCCGAGTTTGGGACAATTACGTCTTGTGGAGTAACCTCGACCAATTCCTGAGTATCATAATTTTTTTTTGATATACTCATCGTCAGTGTCAAAGTGATATGTAATAGGTTATGTATAATGGTCCCTGATATATTAGATTCCAGGGTATAAATCTCCTTGTTCTTGGTCCCGTACCCACTTTCTTAATGTCGCTTAGAAGTTTCCTTTCCGGAGGGGAAGACCAAATGAGATCTTCCCGTCGATACGTGTTTCAGATAAATTTGTGGCCTCGGGTAGAAGTATGATTTGCCGAATGTTCGTTTATGGCTCTCCAATAAGGTATTGCGATATTAAGGTAGTATTGGGTACAATCGGTATTTGTCTCTTCTTTTCTTTTCGCCCTTCTTCTCCCAAGGCATCCGGGCTGGTCCGACGATGCTCCCCCATGAGATTGTACGGCCTCGTCTCCAATCTCAAACAATCTAGTAATTCGATCCCTTTCGTGTGGACCGAATGCGGCCGTTTGTACGACTCATAATACACTACTAACTCGATCTTATCTCTGGCGCATGTACATACCAACTTGGTTTAGAGACCCCCGTTCCAAGTTCACGGGGGGTCGACCGTTTTTCAGGCACACACCAGAGTAACCAATGAGGGACTACTGCAGTTTCCCCGGTCGTGCAATTGGTTCTGCAGCCGCCGTGCGACCAACACCTCTTGCATTTGCCTCCACCACATGGAATTCATGAAGAACAAACCCTCCAGGAACCGGGCGGCTACAGTAGTCACCGCTACCAATAGTCCAGAAACACATCCAAGTTGCATACCAAGCTTTGATGCAGACATTAGCTCACAGGATCATCCGAATTACCCAACGATGGGCCGATGCCTCCATCCATTATGTAAACCAGCTAAAACATATCGCGATCTGAAACAGATATCTCATATCGGTCCCTCCACCCGAGTGTTCTCCTGCCCTGGCCGGGCTCTCGCCGAGACAGTTCTAGTAGTGGGAACCTGGAAGGTTACACTTGGCTCTGACCTTCTAGAATGTAGCGGTGGACCAGTTAATTTCCTTCCTGAATCCTTTATATTAGCTTTTTTATCCACTACTCTCTAATGTAGTATTGGACGGTTCGACGTCATGCTATGTGTGTGTCACTGTATTGTTTCGGAGTGTGGAGTTCAGTTGTCAATCTTTGGATTTGACGTGCTGGATAGTGAGTTTGACTGTTTGAGAAAATCAAGGCTGTGAGGACTTGATCAGCTTATCATTGACTATTATCTTCGCGCCGTGGAGGCTGAAAGGTTTGGAATAGCAAGTCATTGATGATGGATGAAGCCCTTTGGTCTTCGTTCAGTTACAGCCTTTCGGGTATCTTTGTTCTATGGTACGATCTATTGGGCCGGGGCTCAGGATCCGAGTCACCATCCCCTCTCCAGGCAACACCTTCTCTTGCTGTTGAGTTTAATCTGATGCGAAATTGATGTATCCACCTCCTGCATCTCCCGGATGGTTCTCGATCCTCTCTTATTGGTAGTGAGAAAATCCTTCCGGTACTTGACCGACAATGGTCGAGCTACCTCATGAGGAACGTAGCACACGGTGGCCCAAGCATATCGACTGATGGGTCCGATACTACCTCACAAACGCCAAGGTCATCGAGATGAGCCTCTGAGGGGAATCGGGAGATGCGACGAATAGGTTCATGGCATGGAACGGATCAGCCGGCAATCGACGAGCAAGCTCATTCGACCCTGGTCCACTCCAAGCCCCGAGCTCATTTCTTTCCTTTCTTCTTTCCCTTCTCATTACCTGCAGGGGTTGACTCCTTGACGAACCCACCCTTCATCAGCGCATCGCGACCGACAGCATTGATAATACGAAACCGATCGGGGCCCAGTAAGACTCCGCCGTACCACCGTGTGACCACCACAACCACATCCCATACGTCCATCAGCTGCATGAGATGAAGTAATCGGCCCCCAGCAGCTGTCTCCCCATCATCATCGCAATCCTGTACAATCATTTCCGCGGACTCGCCCTTTCCATTCGACGGTTTTTGTTGCCTAATGCGCCAAGCGCTGATATTATGCGTCGCAGCTGCTACCTTCTTCTCGGTCGCCAGGAGATAATCCAAATAAGCCTGAGCCTGCTCAAGACTAGTAACATGCGCTGCGCGCCCAACAAAGACGGACTTTTTCTCGGTCACCACATCCGACAAGACCCAGTTAGGCGGATTGTCCAATCCGAAAGCCTCATTCAACGACAAGCTAGCAATATCCTCAGCCTTCAGGTCCGGTGTGTCCGTCTCTTCCTCTTGCCCCTTGTTATTCTCGTTGTTGCTTCCCCCAATACTCAACTCCTGGAAAGCCTCAACCGCCTCATTTATCACATCGAACAAGCAAACAGCCCCAGGCTGGTACGTTCTCCCTAATATATCCTCCAAAACATCGACCGCGACTTTACCCTCCCCGCGCGACGCGGTAGATGCGGTCCCGAGGACCTTAGGCGGTGTGTCGGGATACGAGGCATCGAAGCCAAGTATAAACGATAAATGCGGATGTTCAGGAATCTGTAGCTTCACTGTCGCGACCAATGGATCCGTTGAGCCGGAACTGCCCAAATCAAGCGTAGAGTTGACTATAGACGAAGCCGCAGTGCTATTGATCGTAACGGTATCGGGGTCGTAAATGGCATTGATCGCTTCTATCTCTTCGGCCAATTCATTATTGCCGAGGGAGTCGAGTTGGGCCGACATTTTTGGACATTGAGTGTGGTGCAGTGTAGACTGACTTTAGTGTGACCAGGAGATTAGTTCCCCGCCGATGTCATCGCTAGTTTTTTGTGCAGTATGTTTTATGCCTGCTCAATATGGGCTGACTAATATATGCTTTGGCATAACTAACTAATGGCCGATTCAATGCTTGGGACTGAGGATAGTACCAGGAAGTTCATTATGTTGCCAATTCATTGAGTCGGTAACCTGGCGCAGTGCCTCCCTCGGATGCAAAGTTCTTGTTTCGTCACCTTCCATGGTCGATCTAACAGGTCGGATTTATAAGTCCTGCTCAAGATCATGGGGAATTAGTAGCTGTTACTGCTCCTCATTAATGTTCTGCCAGTTTCTTTGAACTAGTATCTGCCTGCCTTTGTCCTCAAGGTGAAAGCAAATACTTTTTCTTTCGATAATAGCTGCTGCTAGGCTATGTCCCGACTAGTATTGTCTAACACTAGCTATAGTAATGTGAGTCAGTAGTCGAGTCTTCAAAGGCAAAGGCAGAAGGTTATATACCTTGTATTGAGGTGAGCGCCGCAGGGGTAAGGCAGGAGCAAATAGCTGACAGAGTAGCGAAATTAACTAATAGATTTTGCTTACCAGAGAAGGGAACAGAGGGAAGACGAAGCACATTAATCTCTGATGCACCTGGGGGCTCATACAAGAGTGGTTAACCCGGCGGCGATGGCGCAGGAGAAGCAATTCAATAGGTTATATACTGTATCTTTGGCATGGTCAAACTCTTGGGTTTACTAATTTGGCAAAAGGGATTACTTTCGAGCGAAAATTTTTGACTAAACAGCTTGTTAGATAAGTATTCTTGTAGCTTAATCTCATGCATTGAGAATATCTTTATGGCGGAGATATCAATGTCGCAGTTTCCAAGTAAAAGGACCCTTTTCACGGTCGCGATTTACAGGTGTAGATGGGTCAATAGACCGCCTACCTAGTAGTACTAGTCCAAAAGGCGGTCTGCTACCCAGCTCCTTAATGGGTTCTGATTAACTTCTGCTGCTGGGCTGAGAAGCGCTCTTTCCTTCATTTGCTTATAAGATGACGGGAAAGGTACAAAATTAATTTGACTTAATCTACTTGTAGACTGTACGGCATTAACTGTATGACATACTGCTCTAGGTGATATCATTGTGGTTGTTTGCATAATATATTTATATGCTCCTGACACAATATATATTCTGGTCAATCTGGGCCCGATAAGCACATACTTACAACACATTAAAGCAAGATTTCAGCATTCTAACATCCACTTCCCAAAAAATTTCCTACGCGCTCCATTTCCATATTCCGAACCACCTGCGACATATCTTCACTGTTTCCCTCGAGACCATCTAAATCTGTCCTCCTCCAGAACGCCCGGAACCCATCCACCAATCTCACCGTGATGTCCTTCACGTCAGCTTCAGGCATAGCCGCAAAGCATAGTCGGTAATACTGCCAAGAACGATTCAAGGTCTCCTGCGAGGGCGCAAACAACTCTCCCGGGCCTAGGAGACAGAGGTACGGTTTCTGCGTCAGATGTACCCACAATGCCTTGGAAAGTCTGGCTGGATCGTATCTTCCATGCAAGGGATGGGTGTCGAGACGGAGCTTAAGCCAGACGAACATACCACCGGTGGGCCAAGAAAAGTCGTACATCTGTACTTTATCTACGACTTCCCAGCTTTCCTCGTCGGACTCGAGGCCGGCGTCCGTGGCAATAATACATCTACCCTCCTCTAGAGTGCTGCACATGTCTTGCATGCGTCGTTCATATCCACCACGCAAACCCTCCAGCCAACGGACCCAGCCATCCATTTGCCAGCTACGATCGCTCTTGCTCGAATTGATAGACTTGTGCTCTGTCTGTTGACCCAGAATGAGTTTGGCTACCATGGCTTGAACAAAGCCCGAAGGTGCCTGCGTTGCGGTTTCGGTGACCCGAGCCAACCTCTCGATCACGGCCGGTTGTGCGGTTATCCAGCCCAAACGACAACCAGGGGCGATGGTCTTGGAGAAAGTGTCAAGACGCACAACGCGTCCATCCGCGTCCAAGGACAGGTACGATGGGACCAACGAGTCCAGGAATTCATATCCGGAGGACTTCCCATGCGCATTATAATTACGCTTTACCGAAGCTGTATCTATGGGCGTACCGCGATGCTGGGCTTCTAACGCGGTTGCCGATGGGTATTGCAAATTCCAATAAGGATCATCCTCGATTATGATGATATCGTATCGGTGACAGAGTGCGTAGATTTCTTTCCTACGCTCGACGGATAGGGTGCCGCCTGTGGGGTTCTGGCCAATCCTGCATTGAAAAAAAAAAGCAAATATGTCAGCTGTGACCTGTACCAAAAATAGAACTATACCTATTGGAGAAGACATCGTCACCCGCCAACTTACGTGATGGTGTACATTAAATGCGGACGACGGCCTTTTCGGAAATCCCAGTTTTCAAGAACATCGGCCAATCCTCCTTTACCGCGTGCCAGCATTCCCTGCGTGTCGATGGCGACCGGTACGACGTTGAGACCCCTGGGCTTGACGGTTGCAATAGCATTCATATATACGAATTCCTCACAAAGAATGCCCTCACGTTGACTGATCCAGTCTCTCTCCGGATTCCAGACGTTCGTGAACACTTCGATTGATTTTGAGAAGCCATCGGTCGCTCCGGTGGTGAGGATGGTTTCGGGGCCCCCGGCATATGGAACGTTTGGATGAAGATGCTGACGGGCGAATTGGCGAACAAATGAGGCCATAGGGGGGAGGCCTTCAGCTGTGACATACTGCAAGGCAGTGGCGACGTCGATTCTATTCTGCACATCGGTCGCGTGACTCTCTTTGGGAACAATCAACCGCATTGATGACTTGGCGTCATCGCCAGACTGCTTGGTGGTGCCATTGCTGGAAGGTTGGAAACGCTGGGGTGTCGCGACGGTTGCCTCGAGGGTATCGTATGGGAAGTACGAGGGATTTGGTAGGCCTAATGAGAGGTGATGACGGGGTTAGTGAATATCACGCGAAAAAGAAAGTCCAGAGCCGAATGACGGTCGTCCGTATATACCTCCAGCCAGGTTCGCAATGCCCGGGATGAAGAAGTACTTATATAGGTCCTTGATGCCGCTCCCCACCCGTCGTTTGGTGGTGGATGCATAATGATGGGATAGGTCGACAGGAGGCGCCATGTTTGGAACAAAGTACGATTTAGGTATAGCAGGACAAGACGGTGAATGGTAGCTTTGCAATTTTGCGATGGGCCTGTCTTGTGGGCCGTTCTCTAAGTTGTCTTGAGTCCTATGTAAGTGAACAATTTCCAGAATGGGATTATTATATCTCTGTCTACTTGAACGGAAATTGAGAGAGGAATCCACCTTGTCCGTGTGAAACTCCTCCCTTATCATGACCAATCGTCCACGGTTATTTCCTGTGTACTTTTCCTATGCTTGATAAGCAGGGTCAACAACGGTTCGAGATCCACTTTTGGCTCCAAGACCGTTGGGGGATCCTTTGATTCTATTTGCGCTTGGCTGTGGACTAGCAATAGTGCACGATGACGGACGCTTCACCTTATCCGACAAATCCGATGCAATTGTGGGACATGACTTCAAGGATACCGCCGGTCCATGACGATGTCTGGCTGTCGTCGATTTAGTCTCTATTGATAGAACTACTAGTAGAGGTGAACCTGACATTGACTTGTGTATCTGGGGAAGTACCAAAGGAAAAGCCTGCCCCACCGTGTCGGTCGTCTTCCACTGTACCCCGATGTATAATAATAGCGCTTCAGGCCACTCGCATTCGCCCCCTCCACCGATCTTCCACCGTACGTCGGGTTGCCTTTTTTTTCCCATCTCATGAAAACCTCCGAATACTACTACTGTCCATGAACGTACCCTCCAATGGCAAAGCATTTTCGCCACGGGATCCCTGGCAATCGTTGAAAATCCCCGCAGGTACCTCGCTGACATAAGCACCGATGATTGGCCAGCTTTTGCCACTGAGCTGCTGACATGTCGAAAGCCAATGAATGACTTTTGTGCGCCCATCCCCATCTGCCAACTTCCTCTCTCTTTCTCTTTATCAGTTCCCTAGCTTATCCTTATCCAGATCCAATCGTTACTGTTCTACCCGATACTTGAAGCGCCATGTCTTTCCGCTGGTTGTGAAAGAAGAAAGAAGAAAACACAAAAAAAAAATCTCACACAAAAAAAACAAGCACTCACCCTTCTTGTCTCGCGTCCGCAAGTACTAGTTCTAGAACTCTGGCGGTGACGGACCCTGTATCGGTCACTCCACCGTTCATCCCCCACTTCCGGCGGTTGCCTATCCGATCTCTGTTTGTGGCTTCTGCCCCTGCATCTTCTTCTTCACTTTATATCGCTGGTCCGATTATTGTATAGCACCCCCTCAAGACAACAATACGATGTTTGGTGAAGGCCCCGAGGATGGTTCCCGGGTTTACATCCCTCCGTTGCTGGACTCGGAGCGTTCCGACGATCCCGACGCCTCCGACATCCTTCCTGAGGACGAAGAGCACGGCGTCTCTTACATCCCCGTCTGGCTACGGGAGTCTTCCAAGTCCTTCAAATGGGGCTGGTACCGCTACCCATCCGGAAAGTCGCTCGCGCTACCGTAAACTGGGTGAAAGGCCCGGATCCTCCGCATGACCTCCTGTTGAAACCACTGTTCCCCCACATCCAGGAACTCCCGGTCCGGTACCTGGAACGTTTCTTCCCAAAACGGAAGCATAAGATCGCCTTGTTGGGTCTCTTCTATCTTGCCTGGTTTCTGCCATGGACTATAATCCTACTCCATTCGCGTTCCGCCGGTTATATCGAGGGCTTCGGCCGCCCGGAAACCCTCACTTGTAGAACGACACTTTGGTACGTTGCGCTATGGAGTCTCGTGCGCCTCTCGCTACTGGCAGATCTAACAAAATGCTTACAGGGAGTATGGAAATGAATGCGGCCTCAATGGAAACGACTGCCGTCCGTTCACGGCGGCGACCCTTCCCTTCCGTTGTCCTGCGAACTGCCGGGATGCCAAGTTGGCGGCACCCCATATGGTTGGCAATCAGACTTACAGCTATAAAGGTCTCGTGGTTGGCGGACCCCAACCCGGGTCGGATGATACCCCGGTCTACCGGGCAGACAGCTTTGTTTGCCAAGCCGCTATCCATGCAGGTGTTATCACAAATACTATTGGAGGATGCGGTGTTTTGAAGCTAGAAGGCGCGACCCATTCCTTCCCTGCATCGAAAGAGAATGGAATCAGCTCGGTTGGCTTTCCATCAACGTTCCCCAAGTCATTCAGCTTTGCTTCCCTAGGTTCATCACAGGAAACGTGCCCTAACGACCCGCGTTGGCCGCTCTTGGCAATTACCATTGGTGCGCTAGTCACCTTGTGGCTCTTATGCCGTTCACCCCCAGTACTATTCTTTAGTACCTTTTTCATGGTTTTCTGCCAAGTGGGACTGGTGTCCGATCCACCGACACTTCCTCAGTTTGCCGATCTCGTTTCTAGCTTGCTTGCGAACCTCTTACCGGCTTCATTCGTGGCCTTCGTTCTGTTTAGGTACTGCGCTCGGCCACTTCTCCGGCCCCTCTCAGATGCCACCTATCAGATGACAAAGACATTCCTCTACTTGCCTCCCGTGTTCATTGGTGCATTGAACAACTACACCTTTGCACGATTGATTCCTCTCGAACGCCTTACGCCTCACGATATCCAGCAGCAGCCTGGAGCGAAGGTAGCGTTGGCTATGGTTATTCCGACGGTTATTTGCATTATTCTCAGCCAGGCCTGGCAGATCCGCCAGGGCGGTTTAATGCCGCATTATCTTAAGATCTATTGCACGATGGGTCTTATTCTTTTGATCTTGCTTCCGTTGCCTGGCCTCCGCCTCCGAATCCACCATTATATCCTTGCAATTCTTCTCATGCCTGGCACTGCACTTCCTACGCGACCTTCGCTGGTTTACCAAGGACTGCTTCTTGGACTTTTCATGAACGGCATTGCTCGATGGGGTTTCGCGTCGATCATCGAGACGCCCGCCGCACTGGGCGAGCTTGCCCCGGGACCTGGTGGAGCTCACGGATGGTGGGGAAGTACTTTCCCCAACATTACCGATGCAACAGTTAACATCACCCTCCCTGGCTCGGGATCCAACGAAGTGTACCACGGGAATGGCAACATTACATTCACGCTATGGGAGAAGGAACGCATGGCTGATCTTGGCGTGGACGGTATTTCGGTCCTAGTCAACGATGTGGAGCGCTGGCGTGGGTACCTTGATGAGGATACACTCGGAGAATTCACATGGCATCGCCACGGGCATAATGGCCTGGAGCTCCTGCACCGCCCGACGATCGAGAGCGACCAGGCCGATATCGATTCGATAGACACGGAGGACGAGGACGACAATAGACCTGAAGATCTGTTTTTCCGTTTTGCGTTCCTAAAGGGAGCTGAAGCAGGCAAGTACGGCGGTGCCGGTGTGTGGCTGGAGGATGGGGGGTGGATTTCACCGCCGCCGCCAAAGGATTAGATTTGATTTTTGTTTGTTTAACGCCTTCACAAAGTTTAGATGAAAAGACTATAACTACACTATACCCTACTTAACCGGATGATATGAAGGTGTGCTAGGCGTGGACGACGCGGTGTTTCTGTACTTAAGACTATCTACCACCCATTATGATCAATTAGGGCTATTGCACATGGAGTGGGGCTCACTGCTGTTCACCCCTCGTAAAACAAGGTCTGCACGAATAAGAGGGAGGCGTCGTTCGCGTACTTTTAGTCGAAATGATACATATGGATCTCGACATTTCACATTGGCAGTCCCTTCCGCCATCTTGCGGAGGCGCTCGCGAGCTGCCTCACCCCGAATTTTACGTGAGTATATTGAACGTAGTGGAAGATCACTTTTAGATGTCCAACGGAATTGCAGGCCATCTGCTTCACGTCTAGCTTCTATAATGTTTTACTTGAATCAAGGCCCATCTTTCTCGATAAACTCATTTATCGACTGCTGCATCGGCTCAGCGTTCATATCCGACAAGTGCATATACTAGGTATTAGCTTCCCTTCTTCTCCAGGCCAATACTTGTCCGTATCGGCAGATTGTACTTCGCAACCCCTGCCTCAACCTTGTTACGCATATGGATTGCATAAAGCCACGTCAATCTCTTTACTCGCCATCCACCAGGCATTGAAAGCATAGGTTGTATCGATACCGCCGAACACTGTTCCTCCAGCTACAATAGCAGTCCTCGGAAGCTGGGTTCTTGCTTTACAAGTATGTATGGCCGATCTAAAAGTGTCAAAGGCAGAATTCCTAAACACCTTCCCAGGCATACGAAGCATTAATAGTTACTTCCCGTTCCTGCTTACTATCTACACATACTTCTCTGGATCGGCGTCTGCTCGACCGCGGGCGAAGATGAAACCGCTGACGCCCAGTAAATGAATTTGGCAGGTTGCTAAGATGGAAGCTCGCATGGCTTCCATCGAGATGGACGGGGAATGAACCCCCTTGAAAATACAGTAGGGTGATTCAAAGATAGGACTCATTATATGAGTCGGATAGTGTGGGACTCGCTCAACGAACACACGAACATAACAAAGGCCATTGCAGCTTGGACACATGTTTCCCTTTCATCCGAAGCACGCTTCCAATGGCTAAGAATGCTCCTGGAAGCCCTCTTGAGTAGATGGAATGCCGCGACTGCCTGTTGCGGTTGCTTTTCATTATGCAGCTTCTAATTATGTTGTATGTGCTTGCCCTAATTGGGACTTCTTTTCGCAAAGATAGTATGTTGTGGGTGTGAGCAGGTATGGGTGGACTAAGAAAGTAGGAATTTATTGAGTAATGATATGTATGGGTCAGGAAAATTCTTGTGAAGATGAAAATAACCCCTGGAAAGAAGAATACCTAACAGAAGAAAGGAGGCGATGGGATGTGTAGGTGGAGGGCTGATCTGGCAAGGAATAACATGTCGGAGAGGAATTAGGGTTAGAAAAGTGGACCTCGTTTATTGACGAAGAATAGATCTATCTAGAACATGGGAAGTAATTGGAATGAATCAAAGAAATAACGTCAAAAAAAACACTTTCCAGGCTCAAACGAAGATCGATTCCGATAGATAGGACTTTCACGAAGTTATCTGAGCAATTAGACGATCGACCCTTTGAATGCTTGGGCAGCAATTCAATGATTTGTGTTCTTCAACTGGTCATACCTGGGCACATGGATAGGAGAAAAACTAGCGTAAGCGGAGCCAATTAGTCAAAGAGAAGCTCCCATTCATGCCTCGTAACATGACAGTCAGCTAGTCTTTGAATGCCAACATATTGAATGTAAGATCCAGTGTGTGTTTACTGTTACCAGTGAACTATCGTCATACTCCGCCTACTCTAATCTGATTCACGATTAAAACTAGTGAACAGCTATTCCTTCTACAATAGACCCCGAGTGATCTTCCAAATTTTGATAAAGTAGGCGATGGTGCATTCCGCCTACAATACTATCCACTCCATTTAGAAAACAACACTAGGAGAACATCTTGGAGGGTACGGACTGCCTCCGAACTACCCTCCTGTATTTTCAGGGGCATCATTCTCCGTTCACTTTGAGGCGTGAAGGAGAGGTGGCAGTACACGACTACTTGGAAATAGATTCGGCATATAATATCGTTTCGGGAGTGATATGAGCCCGACTCCCGACATGGTTTTGGGCATAGAATTAGCTTTTGGGAGTTCGTTTCTTTCGGATTCCGTTTCGTCAAGGCGGTTATGCTCTTTCATACCAGGTTTCATCATATCGATTCCCATCCCAATACAACAGGGTGAATCATCAGACAATCGGAAGGATCATCATCATTGTGTCTTCTTTTGGAAAAAGGTAACTATCACCTGGCTGGAAGATTTACACAGGCTAAGTGTGGAGTTCGCTATTATGCTGATATGATTCATTTGAAAAAGTAGATAGCATTAAATGCTACAAAGGTATCATACATCTTTTCTGCGTGCGAAATGCAATTTTGAATAGCGTAATCGTACAAGGGCGTGGCCAGTCTGGAGTTCTCCAGGACGTATTCATTGGTTTTTATTTAACAAAGCTCATCCCGACTCTCATCAAGAGAAGAACAAAATCAATCTCGCGCTTCAACTGTTCCCTCAAGGATAAGAAGCAGATAAGAGTAGCATGTACAACCAAATAACAGGGATAAGACATTGACAATGTGAAGAAAACTATAAACGAAAGAAGAGAAGTCTGCTGGAGCAAGATTTGGAGCGAAGCACAATGCTCGTACCGGACTCGATGAATCGAGGTATGAACTTGAGAGCACGAGACAGATATAGGAATGACGGATAAGAGCGGGAAGAATTCTCATTAGAAAACCTTAGCTTTGCCATTCATCTTGTTGGTCTTCATTTGAACCACCTCAGAAGTTCTTGTTTAGTGGTGGCCATGGCGATGATGTCCATGAGCATGTTTGTGCTCATGCAGGTCTCTCTTGGAAGGGGGAGCGGTTGGCGTGGTGACAACAGTAGAGATGATGCTGGTGGTAGTCGACATGACAGTGGAAACGGTCTCAAGGCCTCCGGTCTGCGTTGTAAGAGGATTGCCCTGTCCATCCACCAGAACAGTAACCTCCCGTTCGACGTAAACAATCGCCTGGGTAACATCGCCTTCGATATAAGAGGTTGTTGGGGTAGGTGTCCATGTGGGTGTCGTAGTAGAGCTGGTGGAAGTTTCGACAGCTACGATGCCCGGCAAGTTGATGGATAACCCGATCGACACAGATGCCGAGGCTGACACCGAGACACCGGGAGCTTGAGTGGCCGTGGCTGTAGTGTAAGAAATGGGGCTCGCATAGGCGGGTCCATACTCGACGACGAGGTCGTTGGGAAGGCCACCCTTGTGAGAGTAAACATCCTCATTCTTCAGAAGAGTCGGAACCTCAAACTTGCACTTCCGTTGCTCGGCCTCGGTCTGGATGTCGAACACATCGCAATCTTCAACACGGCCGGAAAGATTGGTACACTTTTTCACTGCTTGTTCCAGGACACCAGACTCCCAGCCATGAATAAAGTCTGCGTGGTAACCGAAGCCAGTCGGGTCGCCATTAGCAATTACGAATGTGCCCTTCTTATCCTTGAAAGCGTAAGTATTCCAAATGGTCTCGAAGAAAAGAGAAACGACACGAGTGTCGTAGCCCTCGGGGCATGTTCCATCCATCACCGTAGAGGGGTAGGCGACATGTGACTTGTGATCATCAGCGTCGACATCCTTGCCATTCCAGCAAGAGGGGAACATGATTTCAAAACGAACACCATCGGTGCAGTGCTCGTCAAGGTAGGTCTTGTTAGGCAAGAAGTGTCGACCGAGCGAGGGTTCGGCTGCTTTGTTGTAGTTCAAGCAGTTGAAGCCGATCGCCTTCTGGCGAAGAGCAGCTTGCGATTCCTGTTCTCCAGACCATTCAGACGTGGGAGGATCGGGAATAGGCCATTTAAAGTCGCGCTTGTAGGTGTCACCGGCGATCATGCGGAAGCCCTCTGGGAATGCGGTCACGTTGTCTCCGTAAAGGAGGTAGTAGCTATTTGAGTAAGGGATCACGTCAGCGACTCCCCTCGATCTTAAGGGAGAATAAAAAAGAAGATACATACGCAAGCATGCCTCCCACTTGATCGACAATTTCAGTATCGCCATTCTCGTGCATGAAGTAAAGAGCGGGGTGCCAGTATGCCGACTTGTCCTGGGTGACTGCGCATGAAGTGCAGCTGCCATCCCTCAGGGAATCCATATCGGCGGTCATGGCGAAGGCTATCATAACTCAGTATAATAGGCCAACATGGGGAAGGGATGGTCAACTAACTGTCCGGTCCATGGATTGCATGCACATGGTACGAATCCTTTCCGGGGTCCATAAGGGGATCAAGACGGGCCAAACCAGCTCTTCCACGGCATGGGAGACGCCAAAACGCCTCAGCCAGCCCCGAGAAGGCAGCCAGGCCTGTCACTAGGCCGACGTCAAGCCTCATCGTTTGGCGCATGATCCTTAATGTTGATGGATCTCAGAAAGAGGGATAGAGTGGGCTGCAAAATGAGCGACAATTGACTTTCCGCTATCACGAGCGAGGTAATCGGCTAGAGCGTCACCAGGGTCAATAATTAAGAATCATATGGCAGAATAAAGTTCAGATTAGGGAAGGGAGCCGATGAGGCCTGGCGCCGCTGGCTACTTCACAGTAGTATAGTCGGCGCGATGGCGGGGGTTAGAACATAGTATAAGAACGCATCATGAACAATAAAAACAGTGGCAAAGCAGGTTCGCGCATAACTCCAACCCTTTGAAACCAGCTCCACATATATTAAAGGACAGTAAGTAATCTAGGAACCTTAAACAGGACAATCCTCTGACATCATGGTTCCTCAACATCAGTGGCTGGTTGTCTGGCGCAAGGGGTGAAGACATGATTCCCCTTGCTTCGTCGGCGCTCAGCCTCTTGTTACGCGCCACTGGGATGTATTACACGAGGGTATTTAGGGCTGGAGTTTTGAAGAAGGGAGTATATATAGGAATGATATTACATTGGAGTGTGAAGAGAGTGCAAAGGACCGGGGGAGCAGCAAGAAAAGGGGGAGGGAGAAAAAGCGATAGAGAGAAATTGTAGACATACCCTTTTTGGAAATCCGCAGGGATTACTCGGGTGGCCGTCGATCGATCGATTCTCTGACTTGGATGGAGATAATTCGATAGTTATGCTGGAATCTCACCAGGAATCCAGGGCTTTTGAGTCGGTTATCTAATAACCTCGTTCTTCATTAGCCATGTTTCCCGGGCTGGAATGATAAATAACCAGGGAGTGAATCGCAAATCGTACCGTTAGAGCACGACGGCAAAAATAACACAAATCAGCAAAATTAACGAGAGACAGTGGAGAAGGAGCGACAGAAACGAGTGTAAAATAAAACGAGGAGACAGAAAGGATACAATCCTTCTGAAAAATAAAGGAGCGGAAGGACGTCAACGCCGTCGGATGATGTGGTGGGAATAGTCAAGAAGGGGAGCGGAGGAAGTGGTTTTAAACAAAGCGATAGTAGAAAAACAGCCGAGTGACTTCAACAGCAGGTGGTCTGTTCGCTGGGGAATGTCAGTAAGCCCAGTCCAATTTGCCCCCGTTCACCAATGGCGATTGTCTTTGATTGTTGCCCTTTTCACTTTTTTTTTTTAATTTTTCTCATTTCGCTTGCCGTCGCCCCTATCTGATAAACTACTTAATTCTGCATCTTGGTCTTCTACCTATTTTCTCGGACCCAAGAACCGGACTTGACTTGGCTGTTGGGTCGCTAAGAACCGATCATGGAACTATTAAATTCTATCTTCTTATTCCCATGACTATTGCGCTTCTTTTCCTTCTCGAAATTAATGACAGTCGTCCGAACCAAACTCTGCAGGGAGGGGTTAATCGATAAGGAGCAAGATCATCTCAAGGAAATTTCATTAGAACAGTTAGCGTCCCCTCTATCAGACTGCAGACGGAGCCCCAATAGCCGGGAACCACTTAGAACAAACTTACAAGCGCGGGGGGGCTGGGATGTCGATTCCGCTTCCTCCCTATCACAACCTTCGCAGGACCTCCATAAATGACGGATAATTAACAGAGGACTGGAGCGGTTTTCCTCGACGTCTCGTGTGCCAGTGGGACGCCCACTCAGAGACGTGAGTGTCTTGGGTTTTCTCAGCTAGCCAGCGCCCAAGAGAGGCAGTGCCCGACGGTTTCCCTGGGCCTCCACTTGGCCCCATTCTTTGGTATTGCTGATCTCCAGGGGTAATACCAGTACTCCGTCGTTCGTTCGGACCCAGCGAACAGGGGAGGTCATTCTAAACCTTCGGAGGCACCATATCGGGCGCCTGCCCTATGATAAAGCTGGAAGCGTAACGGTGTGGATTGACCTGAAACGAAGGTTTGTGGTTTCATCGGAGGATTTGACTTGCAAATGAGAGGAAAACGGACTTGGGGCCAACGCAGTAAGATTGGCCGTTGTCGGATCCCGTTCCTGACTAGTGGGACGCTAACGCGTTGGTCTGGGGCCGATGTTTGGGTCGGTCGCAAATTGCGGACTGGAGGTTGAAACGTGACATCATACTCATCCGAGCCTCAGGGGTACTTTGTCAGTCTGGTACAGGTTCAAAATTATATTCTGAATAAGGCCAACCAAGGGGGAGCCTTACATCTTCCTCGACCACACGAGTCATTCGCTTTCTGAGTCATGAGGCAAGCATATCCTGGGGAGTGTGTCTCACGGTCGCCGAGAGGAAAGCGGGTAAGCACTTCCCCGAAAGTTAGCGACTGTCGTTTCAGAATCGGACGAACTGTGGACCATGTCGAGAATAGAAACTTGCATCCCGTGTACTGAATGTTAGTCTAAGCAGCATCGGATCTGAGAACTAAGACAAAAAAAGAGAAAAGGAAAAGAAAAAAGATAAAGAAAAAAGCAGAAAACAAGGCAGAGCCAGATCTCACCTCCAAAAATTCCACAGATCTTCTACCGTGCCTGGCATAGATTAAATATGGAGTACTAAACGATGAAACGAGGGTGTGACGGTGAACCGCATCAGAAGGCAGATCATTGGCACATGATCTCGTAGCCTGGGGCTTCCACCAGACACCTTCCCGCGACAATGCAACCTCAATATAAAGAACATTGCTGTTTCGGCTATCTCTGATCTCCTGGCTTTGTTAAATAATGAAATGTGGCGTTTATCAGTCCGTCTACCCCTCTTACAATTGAACTGCAGCATGAGCAAACAGGTTACGGCCAGAATAGACCTTGAGCTTCAACTGTGTAATCAACAATGCTTCCTACATTATAACCAAACTACTCATAAGAATAACAAATGTGTATCCAGGCTATGAATTGGACCCCACAGAACATGAATAAGCTGACGGTAATGGCTCGAATATCTTGGCCGAGTTAGCAGAGTGTTGTCAGTGACTTTTTCTGTCATATTTATTTAATAACATAACATACTATCCTCAAAAACCTAAAGCTCCATACACACCGGCATCACATGTAAGCACAACCGACAGATTAGTTCTATATACTATGTAGTCCGTACTATGATAATTAGAGAGTGTAGACTGCTACTATGTATATGCTAACATACCCCACTTGGCCAAGATATCATTAGTAGTTGATTTAACCTTGTGATATCATATATCCCCCACTGTGGAGTATACCGTTCTTTGTTCAATGTAACCTAGACTAGATTCTACTTGGGGCGCTTCTTGAAACCAGAAACCATGTGCCGGAATGAGATGGGAAATACAGGTAATATAGCTTTAAATTGGCAAATATCTACGTCCTTGATTATTGCATCCCTATGGATGAGCTATGCTGTTGATCTGTCGATGTTGCACTACTATATACCCGGTTCATATTATATTTCACAGATTAGCCTAAGTCGACGCGTTTCATGTCATTCCCTCTGAACTACCCAAGCACTTCAAGTAACTACTGTCTATGATATATATTCAATAAGTGATAAAACCATAGTACAGCAGAGCTCATTCCTTCACCGGGAGAGACTGATGTTTGCAGATGTACCAATGTGTCCAGCTATGAGAAGACGACATGCGTCATCATCTGTTATTCACCAAGACAGACATCAATGATGCCCATCAACAAAGTATTGGCAACGTTGCGTAAACAGAACATAAGAATAACAAGCTTATGCGGGAGCTAAGTATATGGTACATATATGTCCTCACTTGGCAAAGAGAGAATTGCAATCGAGACCGCAATTTCTGGAAATATAACGAGGCAGTAGAAAGACCACTGCAACTTTACTTTAAAAGAATAAATAGAAAGAGAGAGGGAAATAGGGAGGCAGGGAGAAAGGGAGACTTATGATGAGTTCAAAATATCTTCATCCCTCAATGACGCGAGAAAGAGATAAGCCATCATATTACTCAATATCACGGACCGCGATTGCCGCCAAGAGTATTATCTGTGGTCCAAATAATGAAGAGAAAAGGATTTAATGAGATCAGACGTATTCGATAGCATAACTGCAAAGGGTGTAGCATATTCTCCACGAGTCTTGTCATGTTTTCGCTGATTTTTCGAGGAGGGTAAAGAGTATAAATCACGATTCAAGAGAAGTACTCATCCATCAATCTGCCACTCCCCTTTCTATAGGGGAGCCAACAATAGAAATGACGCCCTATCAATGAACCACAGTGACCGGAGCACACAGACTATTGGTACTATCTGAGTACCTTATCACGCGATCGCTTGAATCATAGAAGCTCAAGGAATAGAATAATTGAAAGGAGGAGATAAGCATGCACCCCCTATCCTATCCTCCGCAGAGCTGGAGATAGGCACTCCCCGAATATCCCAAATCGTTCTGCCGGTCCCCGTATTCATTACGTCGTAAACCTTCTGTGACTCCTTCTCCGACCAGTGCCCGTAAGAAGGAATAAAACCCTATCATTCCTCATCGACAAGAACCCGCTGACCCGTCGGTAAAGCTAACGCAACAAGACCAAAGTGGCAAGGTACTAACTACCCCGGAAAATCCCTGGGTCACAACCCTTCAGCCATTAACCTTGTTTCAAATGAAGCATTGACTCCTTCCTGTCGGTAACCCCAAAGTATAAGCAGAAGATAACGACCTAGCAGCCTCGTCAAAGTCATCCACGGCAACCAATAACCGATAAAAGTTTATCATAAACACGATAGCATCAAATAAACAAGCAGACGTATGTCAGATTAGTGTAGAGTTCAGTGGCTGAGAAAGAGGGGAGAAACGGTCATCAGGCGCTCTTCGGGTATATGTAGTTGATCGTTGGTGTGGCCGGGGTAAACTCAAGTGGTTACCCGAAAAGAGTAAAGATGTCCCTCCTGCGCGGGGATAGGCTACAAGATTGTAGATACTGCTCGAGATAGCATACGGTTTCCCCGTTTGGTATAATCGAGGGCTTTTGACAGTTATCTTCGTTTAATGAAGTTTGCCAGTATTAGCAATCATCGAGGTAAAGTC